AGCCTGCCTGCACCTGACTTCAGCCTCCTCTACATCATTGCTGCATTTCTGACCACCAAATTCCTGGCAGCCATCCTGATTTTTATTGTCGCCACCAGCAAGCGAAGCAAGGGGACAGAGGAGGACAGCCACAGCCGGAACGAACATCCACTTCTCCTGCTTCCACGTGACCTCCGTGAGGGTGCTCACAGATGACCTGACCCCCCCTGGGATTCTGGGACCCAGAATATGACTAAGGGCAAACCTTTGCTGTTGCCAAGGTAGAGGATAAAATGCTTAAAGCAGCTAGGCAGAGGCAGTACTTAGCTCACACTCTCCTCAGGGGTATCAACCTGTGCCTCATCTCTCACCACTTTTCTAACCCATATTCCTATTTCACTTCCAGCACAAGAGAACCAGCTGGACACATGGCAAGGAGGAAAAGGGTAGAGCCAGACTCCCAAGGTCCCCATCAAAGATGCCCACATGCAGAGCTGTTGGCACAGGTATGGGCAGGGTGAACAGACTCTGCTCCATTTTCCCTGTGCTCTCAGCTCAGTGCCGGGACAGATAAACCTTTGCTTGCCCTGCCAGGTTTTCTTTCACTGCAAAAGAAAGCAATGATGCACATGTAGCAGTGTACTTTCCCTTAGTGCCACAAAAGGACTTTGAGGGTGGTCTCAGCCATGGTGGGCAGCCTGTGGCCTGATCCCAAGGCAGTAGACTCAGTACAGCTGCAATACTAAAATAAATAAGCATTGTTTCATCTCAGATTTCCACGCCCCTTGTCCTCATTCAATGCCATTTGGCGCTAAAGAACTAGTAGCTCTATGGACCAGTAGTTCCACAGGGGGTTGAATGGCTCCAAAAAAAGCCAACTGAGTGCTCTCCCCACATGCAGAAAAATCCCAAATCCTCCCCTAAGCCTGGCTGGGGTATTACTGAGAAAGATGCTGAAATCTTGAGCCATCTCCAACCCAGCTCATGAAAAAGCCCCAGTAGCCCACTGCCGCACTTAGTGTCTAACAACAGCCAAGGGGGAAAGGTAAACTCTGTGGTACATGGGTTACATTCCCCAGCTAGTAACATGTGATAACAGAAGCCAATCAGTCCCCGAGTGTTCTGTGTCTCCCACAAAACAGATGCAGTCAGCTCACCAAGTGCTGGGTTTGTGCTTAAAGCAGAGGCTGCTACTGGGTGGCAGTGATCCTGAGAGTTAAAAGCCAAATCTTCTGAGATGGGAGCTTTTTCCCCTGATGGCAGCCAGAGCAAAGTACTGCTGTCATCAACTGCAGATGAACTTGCTGCTGTCCCATATCACTGGCAGAGTTAGATACTGACATCAGTAGGGACCTTCAACCCATTGCAGGGTCCTTTTGAGTCATTTATATTGGACCAGTGCAGCAGTAGTAGCAAGTAGAAGCCATCTCCAGATCCTCACTTCTCCCAGGGAATGGTGTATTAAAGAGGACTGAAAGAAAGAAATACATGAATGGGATCCTGGGACTGCAAAGGGAAAGAAGGAACCCCCTCGTTAGAAATGCAGCTGCCCGACACTGATGGATAATTCCACCCTAGTCATTACCACCTGGTGACATTTAGAGCAACCTCCAGTGTTCAAAAGCTCCCTCATAACACCAATACCCTTCATGCTCCTGCCCAGCAGAGGTGGCATGTCAGAAAGGCAACGGAGAAAGAGAGCTATCAAACAACAGGCACTAACACTGAACTACATGGAGACAAGCCCTGAATCATTTTCTGGCCCCACTCTGTATTTCCATCTAAGCGGTTGTACTTCCTCAAATGAGGTGCAGCTGGTCCTCTACAAGCCATTGAAACAGCTGGCCTCCCCCTCAACTGGAAGTAGGGACAATGCTAGAATTAAAATACCTTCCCAGCCATTTCAAAGCAAGGAGCTAGGGGCTGCATTTCTCTGCTTTGAGATCTGCTTTCCCTGCCCTGGCACCAGCAGGTGAAGCAGAGAGATTGTGCTTTCCTCAGAGATTGAGCACTGTTTGCTGTTGCATTCATTATTACAGTGAGCTGGCTGCAACCAGCTGGGGATTGGATCCCCAGGCATTGGAGGAGATGTTATATTCAACCCACTGGGTCCCCCCACCCTGTTGTATGATCTTGCAATTGAAAGGAGAAGCCTGAACTCTAAGCCTGGGTCCCAGTTTGTCTCTTGTAATCGCATTTTTCTTCTGAGACAAGAAAAGTTACCTGGTGGCTTGCAGAGGTTTCCAAACTTGCCACCACTCCCCCACTGCCAACATTTCCAGGCCCATGGGCCAGATGACATGGAGCTGGGGCCGAATGTGGCTTGCAGACCAGGGGCTGAGTGCCCCTGCTCTATGCCAAATAAAACTTGCTTCCGTAATCAGGCAATGTTTTAAGAAATTAAGCAAAGCATCGGTTTGTTTTCTAATGTCCTCACTCATTCCTAATATTCTGGGCAAAGTGAGGCATGAGGTATCTTCAAATCCAACACAAACCACTGAGGGAGCACAACACAACAGCAAGACCACACTCCCCAGCAGTCACAGCACACTAAAACATGCTAATTTGCATTGGCATGAAGGGAAACTCATGCTCCAAGTGCGTGCAGGGCTGAAGCAGCATCTGCAGAAGCAGACAGATGCTCTCCCAAATCCAGGTCAAATTCTGTATCTCACACTCCACAAATAATCAGTTTTCTATTGTATTTCCAAGACTAAGAAAGGAGAAAGTTGGTGACATCAGGATAAAGAGGAAAAGGAACAGGCTGAGAAAAGGGAATCCTAGAAACTCTCCATCCAAGCTTCTCCCAACTATTTACACATGCCTGGCCTGCAATGGTCACACACTGGCATCCACATATCACTCTGCTCCATTTTCTCTACGCAGAAAAAAAATCTCACTTTTACTAAGCCAGATTTTACCTGTAAAGCTAATGGAGATTGTTCCATTGCAACAGAAACCTAAACTGCACTAAGCGGCAATGTAATGTTTCCGTGCAATTCAGTAGAGCTCTTACCTGTGGCATTAGTTTTAGGTTGCTCTGAACCTTGCCAGCCTGTGGGCTACCTGCTATTCTGCTCTGTGAGCCTGCAGAGCCTAACGAGCCACTGAGCAACACCTGCATCCGGCTCGGAGGTAAGACCCACCAACACCTGACTCCAAAACCTTGGAGTGCCAGGGAAGAAAGGGGATGCCTGTTTGCTCATTAACAGGACAAAGCAGAGGGAAGGTGGAAGATGCCAGGGGTACCAGAAACATAATACAAACACAAAGCAAAGCTTGTTCTGGATGCTCACCACTCACCGGGGACCCCATGCAGTCTTTCCTTACAGTCTCAGTAGGTCCAAACATAGCATATGTACACACTGAAGACCCAGCAGCCAGGTCGAGTGCTTTCATCTGGCCTGGAGTCATCGCTATTTGTTTCCACAAGCTTTGAGTTTGCACAAGAGCTGCCCGTGCAGCCACCCACTTCCTACCTGCCCACCAGGTACAAATGCAGAGAAGAACGAGGATGCCTCGGAAAGGGGAAGTGAAGGCTAGGCCTGTAGGGCTCCTTTCCAAGAAACTTGGAGGCAGCTAGCCAGTCCCTCCTCCATTGACTGAGGAAGTGGTGAAGGGTCATGAGGCAAACTAAAGGAGCTTATGGAAGGAGAAATTCACCGCTTTGTTGTTGCTGTGAACTGCTTGAAGCTGCATTTGTGCCATTTTTATGAGCATGGCTCACAAAGGCAGCTTGGCCCAGCAGACCGAGTGCTACTGTGAGTCTCAGGTTACCTGGGTTCTAGCCTTGGCTTTGACACTGGCCTGCTGGGTGACCTTGGGCAAGTCACTTTCCCTCTCTCTGACCTCCTTTGTAAGAGTCGATGGAAACTGCTAGCTAAGCCAGGTATTAGCATCCCCCTCTAACCTCCAAACCAAGGCTCAGTTTGCATGGACAATGCCATTATTTTTCCTGTTGCAGTCATTAGGCAGGAATCTAGAACAGCGTGTGGCTTATAAGGAGAAGAAAGACCCCTGCGCTCTCAGGCCTTAGATTCAGGGAGGATCAACCAGGAGATGGGCACAGGCATGAGGAACTGCCCCACAGCCTGGAACAGGGACACAAAACCTGCGTATAGCTCCTTTGAGAAGCCGGGCATCCTGATTTCACAAGAAATTGTTTTGCAAAGAAGGGGGTGAGCTGGCTGTCACCCTTTCGTGCAGTTGTTCCACACGGTCCTCACAATGTCACGGACATGTGAGTTTTACTCATCACAAGCTCCAAGAAGAGCTACATTTAGCTGCGTATGTCAGGCAAGGGTCTAGTTACACAATGCAAAAAGCTGACACTCAAAAATCCACATACGCTCAGCCACATTCACTGCACTGCACCAAATCCAGTGCCTGCAGCACCCTCACTTCTTTCTCCTTGGCTGCAAACCCAAAGCAGAGCCAGAGGAAGCTGACTTAACTTCCAGATCCTTGCTACCACCCTTCTTTGGGGTTACAGCTTTAACCCTCCTTTGGGATCCAGGGTTTCCCTCCCCTGTGGAGGCTCAGGTGGCTGGAGCTGTGCCTGGCCCCTTGTACCCACAGTGTTGTGGGGGCTGGGGTTAAGGCACCCCAACCCACCTTCCACCTGGGTGGTAACTGGCCTGGCATTTCCTGGGGGCTCCTGCTCCACCAGGAGCCCCAACAGACCACCCATCCCTGGCAGGGTGCAGTTCTAGGTCAGGACCAGGACCAGGACCAGGACCAGGACTCTCCAAACCATCCCCATAAGCTCCTGCCCTTCCCTCCTGATTATTCCTACTGCTGCTCAACCAGGCAATTCTTCTGCCTAATCTACCAACAGGAAACTACTGTGCTTATATAAGCAGCCAGTGTTTTAAAATGGCTGTGGCAATCAAGCACCTGCTGGCTGCTTGACTCAGCCCTTAAAGCAGCAGGCACCGCAAGTGCATGCACTCCCACAGAGACGCATCATCCAGATGAGAAGGACCCTTCGAAACATCATAATGCAGGGTCCTGTGGACCAGGAACCAAGAGATGGGCTCTGTTCCCCCTGGCCTGCTGTGAGCAAAGCTAGTCACCTGTTTCCCTACCTGGACAATAAGTCTAAGTTTCTACCTTCATAAAAGAGCTTTGAGATTGGCCAGTATAAAATTCCCGGGTTAGTGCTAAAGAAGAATAGACTATGTGAAACCAAAAGCTGTCAGTACAACATAAACCACTGCTAAAAATGGCACTGAAGAAAGAACATGCCCCAATCCCTTCTCTCCCCATGGCTAAATGTCCATATCTAAACAGCTGCACATTTCAGACGAAAGTGGCTGGTGGTCAAACGCCTGCTTCCCTTTCAAAGAGCGAATGTGGGGAACCCAATCTAGATGGCTGTTCCAGAGCCAGTGAGAAAGGCAGAGACTCAAAGGGTGTTAACTTCCTGCGCCCAAGGGAAAGCTGCAAGGTTGCATTTGACTTTTCCAAGCCCTACACCACTTCCCACTCCAGGATGGCAGGTTTCCCTGCCCTGCTGCTCCTGCTGGCACTAACAGGTAAGGCAGAGAGAGACTGCTCCTGCCCCTGGGGCAGAACCTTCTGCTTGCTGCTGCATTCATTACACATGGCACGAGGCTGCTTTTGCAGCCAGCGGGAGGTAGCCATGGAAGTGGGTCACTGGCTATTTGAAAGGGGAGGATATGTTCAGCCCACTGGGTCTCTGGATCTATTATATATGCTTCTGGATCCCTGTTTCTGTTCCCAGAAATTATGCGTTTTGCAAAGAAGAGCACGGTCATAAAAGGAGGTTTCATCACCCCAAAGCTTTGGGGAAAGGACCTCTCCTGAATCAAAGGGACTCCTTCCTCCAGCCCCTTAGGGACCAGCTGCTGTGAGCCTGAAAAGGCAGTGCCAAAAGCACCAGAAGGAACAGTAAACTTGAATGAGGGGCTCTGATCAGCAGGGCCGGATAAACCCTTTAGTGGGCCCTCAGCAAACAAACTCGTGGGCCCCTACTTACTACTTAATTTATATTACTACTAAATTTATATTACTTTTTTTTTCACTCAATAATTACAATATGTAAAATAAGCACAATTGGGCCCCTTCACTTAGGGCCCTATGCTCATGCCTAGTTTGCCTGTGTGTTAATCCAGCCCTGCTGACCAGTGTCCGTTTGCCAGCCCAACCTGGACAGAGCCCACCTTGCTTCTGTTCACGGGAGGAAGAGCAGGAGACACAAGGTCTGTGCTGGGGAAAAGCATGGACTGCTGCAGAGGAAGGGGACAGCTGCCCTGCTCTGGGGCTCGCTATGGAGGTTCATTTAGACAGGGATGCAGAGCTTCAGGTACGCCTTGCAACAGCCCATATGACCACCGATAGGTCTTGGTTCAGAGCCCCTGATACAAAAGGTCTATCAGCTCTAATATCACTTTCTTCCTCCTTTGGAAGGGACATCTGCAGAACAGGACATAGAGGTGCAGAAGAAAGTGCAAGGAGACTCCCTTCATACAGGATGTTCTTACAACAAGCACAAGTATTCACTGGAGAAGAAATACTTGTGTAAGGAGCTGTCAAGGAATTGCCCAGTTTTAGCCTCGATCTCCCCAGCAGGTGGAAAGAATGACCCTCACCCTGCAACAAAAAACACAATCAGCCTCAAAGACACAGGAGATGGCTGGATTTCTGTGATCATGATGGCACTCCGAGTAGAGGATTCGGGAACGTACCAATGCAAGCTTTATGATTCTCTAAAGAGTATCATACTGAAGCGAATAAAAGTGCTGGTCGCTTATGAGGGTGAGTTACAGATCAGTAATATACTGGCTGGGACCCTAGCCTATGATGCCTCTCATGTACTCTAAATTAAGATTGATGTTCCATGTCCAGTTCTTTTTCAAAGTAAAACACAGTGTAGGAGGAGACAGAAATCCCAGAATGTATTCATTAAGATATGGTTAAACCCCAATTACATATCTGGATACAGAAATGTCAGGTGCATCTAGAACAAAACAAAAACAATTCAACACTTTTCAGCTTTTCATCAAAACTAATTGGGCTCATTTGATGTCAGCAGTCAAAAGTAACAAATTTAATCTTTTGGTTGTTTGAGGAAAAGCATAGTAGTACTAGTAATAATAATGATAATGTTGATGATAATGATAATAGATTCATAGATTCATAGATGTTAGGGTGGGAAGGGACCTCAATAGATCATCGAGTCCGACCCCCTGCATAGGCAGGGAAGAGTGCTGGGTTCAGATGACCCCAGCCAGATGCCTATCTAACCTCCTCTTGAAGACCCCCAGGGTAGGGGCGGGCACCACCTCCCTTGGGAGCCCGTTCCAGACCTTGGCCACTAACTGTGAAGAAGTTCTTCCTAATGTCCAGTCTAAATCTGCTCTCTGCTAGCTTGTGGCCATTATTTCTTGTAAATAGATGTAATAGATGATAAAGCTGGACTTCTTTGCACCAAGATCTCCATGCTGTCAGGAAACCATTTCACATCAGAAATAAACCTGTTAGGTGGGAAAAGCTTTAACCCAATCTCAGGGAGATGCACGCCTTAAAGTTCAGACCTGTTGTTGGTAATTGAAATGAGCTAGCCAGATGGCCCCCGCCAGCTGCTCCTATGCTCTGGGACTTCATGTTCATGGCTGCTGTGACATTTGGCAGCTGTTTGGGGAATTTTTTTTTGGTTTGGTTTTGTGTTTAGTGGCTTTATTTCTTTGATTTGGGGCTTGGGTTTAGGCTCTGTTGTATTTTGCTGGTGATAGCCAAGTGCAGTGACAGCCCAAGATTCTTGCACCCAAGGCAAGGGCAGTGGCAGTAACGCCAGCTGCCTTGGCCAGCTGACTTCAGTCCTGCCCCAGACACCTCTTCAGAGGACAAGAGAGCATCACTTCCTAATGGTTTGTTCACTCCTTTGGTCCCCTGATGCTACAGCTATTAGCAAAGGGGCCAATTGTGAATATGTTTTTGGAAAGCAGAGAGAGAATTAATGGATTCTCAGAGCTGTGCAGTGTTTTTTTTTTTCCAGCTTAGACCCAGTACAGTGGTAACAAATGTAAATACAATCCTAGGAAATCTTCTCCTTGGACTGAGAGAGATTATTTCCACATTTTTTGCATGTTCTTCTGTTTTTGTCTGGATGCTCTGTCCCACTATTTCAATGCAGGTGGAATTTATAGATCTGTAGGAATTTTCCCTTCCATAAACACCTTCTCTCATCATAACCAGTCACTCGTCTATTTTCCATAGCTCCCCTGAGGTTATCTGCAAATGAAGGAGACTCCATCTCTCTGAATTGTTCCTATACTGTGATGGGCGAGAGGAGGAGCCCCCAATATTTTACCTTGTGTAAAATGGTAACCACAACCAATTGTCAACCTGCCATCAGAATGAACTACTATTACAACGATCACACAAGCGGAAAGATCAGGATAACTAATGACCAGGAGAACTGCATGATCACGGCAACACTGAGAGAGCTCCGGTACCAGGACTCAGGAGAGTATCGCTGCTGCAGCCATTTAATGAGCCAAAACATGTTCCTGCGGGCAATTCACCTGGTGGTTTCAAGTGAGTTTATTAAAAACATTAAAAATGGTTTTCCCTGAATGGGCTCCAGTAGCCTAGGCATCAGAAGCGACCAGAGATTTTCCAAATTGACCCCTACAGACTTTTGATATGCCCTAGCTGTGTACATAAGATTGGGCCAAATCCTCAGGTGATGTAAATTGGCAGATTCATTCATTTTTAGAGCTGCAAATTTGTACCAGCAGTTGAAACGATCAAAGAACAGAGCTGGACTCTTGTTCAATTCTCCTCCCCACCAAGCTTATAAACTTTTTATTTATTTATGCACTTTTCTACCCTTCCTCTTCTAACCAGCACAGGAAGCAGAAGTGCAGAAAATAACTTGGACAAAGCTATTCTTATGGTATTTCTGACCAGAATAAAAATGAAACACTCAAGTCACAACCTCTCTCTAAGATGTTTCCTGCCCAATAATATTGAAGTGGTTCAACCCAGGATCTAAGCTTTTTCATTCTTCCCTAGCTGGGAGCATTGGCCCTTGTACAATTGACTGATGCCTGCTCAAATTTCCTCTTCTGAACTAGCCATCCTGTCTCTTATATCATAGAATCATAGAAATTAAGGGCTGGAAGGGACCTCGACAGATCGAGTCCAACCCCCCTGCTCTGGGCAGGAATACCGCTGAGATCAAATGATCCCAGTAAAGTGTCTGGTCCAGTCTCCTCTTAAAGATTTCCAAGGTTGGGGACTGCACCCCCTCCTTGGGAAGTCTATTCCAGATTCTGGTCACCCTTACCGTAAGAAGTTTTTCCTTGCATCCAAGGAAGTTTTTCCTTCCATATGTGTAATAGAACACAAGCCTACAATGTGCACCTCAAAATTTGCAAGCAAGAATGCAGAGAAATCAAAGCCATCAACCCATCCCTCTGGCCACAGCTGAAGTGTGCCCTTACATAGCTTATCCAAGGTTTGGTGCAGATGAATTGCAATGGTCTTGAACAACAGAACGCAGAAGGGTGTAGGCCAAGGGATGGTGCACGGGACTTGGAATCAGCTGTGGGTTCCAGTCCCATTTTACTACTAGTGCTCTGGGTGTGCCTACACTTGACCTTCCCATGTAGATACCTTAGGGATTGGTACCACGTAATAACCTGGCTAGAACTCCCCGCGTGACATCCTTGAAGGAACCGCTGAATCTCACTGCCGAGGCCCTTGCTAGCAAGTTATACAGGTTGAATTCCTCTGTGACATCAAATATTACTGACCGGGAAACTAACTCAGGAGTAACATAAGGAGTTTCCTGGGTACTCAGGATTTCTCCTCACTGCAGAACTTCAAGAAGGCCAAAGCTGTTCATTCGCTCTTGTGTCTATTTTCAGAAAAGCCCTGGAATCCCAGTAGTGTTTTAGAAGTTACCTCATCCCCCACCAGCAGCAGAGGGGCCATCCATCCCACTGTGGCCAGCAACGAGCAGCAGAGGTACAAAAACTAAGCAAAAGGCTTCCAAAATCACATTTATGATCATAGCAGGATTAAAGGCACAGGTTGATGAGAGGTGAACATCCACATACCCACACTTTCTCTCAAATAGGTTTGGATTTAACCCCCATTAAAGGCAGCAGAAAGGCTCCCAACTCCATCGGTGGAAGCTAAGCCAGACCTTTCCTGAAGGTGTTGGGCTCTCTTCCTTCCAGCTGAGGGAGAAGCACACAGCCCTGTCGTGCTACAACTTTTCTGGCTCTTGCCTCAGTAGGGTGGTCAGTGTAAGACCAAACCCTGCCAAAAAACATAACCTGTCAAGTGGGAGCCATTAGCAAGCCAGATCAAAGAGGACCCTGGTAATTACCTCCATCAAAGACAGACCCATAAGGAGCTACAGCATCCTAATGAGGAAGAATTCCTTTGAATTCTAGGAGCACTGCCAGCCAGTGCTGGGAAATAATTCAAGCTCCTGAATATAGCTTCAGCACTCGACAAGCCTGGGAAAATAGAGCAAAGCTAGATGCTCCTGTGGTGCATCAGCAGTGCCCCATTGACTTCAATGGAACTGTTCCTGTTAGAGATGGCGTTATTTTTGCACCCTGAATTTAGACCCTTGAGTCTCAATGCATTTGCAAGCAATTCCACATCCCCTCCTGCATTCATCTTTAGTGCTATCAATGTTAAAGATATTGCCCATTTCTTTGCAGAACTCTGTATATTGTTGTGGTGCTGGGTGTCCTTCTGGGCAGTGTTGCACTGATTACTGCTTTCACACTCCTTGCCCTGACTTTCATCAAAAGGAGAGAGGCAGGCAAGTTCTTCTACCACTCATCTTTCATACCATCAGAGTCCATCTCCCACCCCCCTGACTCAAGTTGAATAGAAGCAAAAGGAGTCATGTGTGTGTCATCACAGCAGGTGGCTGGAAACACAAGACTTCAGTAGACTCAAAGTGGTGGGCAGACTTTATGCTAGGCCTTTGCTTTGTTTCTAGACATAGGTAAAGTATAAAGGGTGAAAAGGCAGCTTTCACATTAAATGGCGAGTCTGTTGTTCACAGCAGAAGATGGACTGAGCTTTGGCAGAACTCCTGCTTGCAGACTTGCAGTGTTTCAGGTAAGATGCCCCTTGAAGATCCAGTGTTCCTAGCACTTTGCTTGGTTTCTCCATGCACCTACATAAAGCAGGGGTAAGTTGTACTGTCAACTTTTACACCAAGAGCTGGGGTTCTTGGCTTCCTGTCCCCACTGCTGCCATTACACAGGGCATTGCAGGGATGCATTGTACTCAAAGGTACAACTCCAGCACAGGTGGGCCTTCCCTAGCTACCAGGTCCAGTCCACAAGAGCAGTGAAGCCATGGGAGCACAGACTGGCCTCATCTCCAACCCAGGGTCTGGATAGCTCTAGAGTCCATGCTGAAGCTCATGCTGGCTTGGCTACACTGTTCTCAATATCTGAGCTAAGTCGGATCTGGTATGTCTACACATGCTGCCACTATACCTTTGACTTCCATTTAGCTGTACCCCAGTTCAGTAACTTAAGCAAGTCACTTAGCTTCTGCTGTCTCAGCTTATGTACCTGGAAAACAAGTATTACATTTGCATCTAGCACTGTGTGTGGGGAAAGTTTAATGCCCTTGATCTGCTGTAAGTTCTGAATAGACTCTAGGGTTTACGTTCGCAAAGTGATACATGATTGTGATGCCTTCATGTTACTGATGGAGTCAACTGTGGGTACCATCTCCTCACACCTCTATGTAGGTCTGTGGCCGAGTGTTCTCCGAGCAGCCCAAGTATATATTTCACCTACACCACTCCCCCAGTTTCAGAGTCTAGAGAGATTTCCTAGCTATGGTGAAGTGAGAACAACATTTGGGAAGAAGATAAGTTAAAAATAATCTAGAATTCCTTTTTAATTTCCTATTATTTGTGGATTTCCAGAAGGATGAAAGCAGTGGAGGTACCACATCAGATGGGGAAATGAAGAGTGATGTAACATATGCCGTCCTGAAGTGCCAGACCAAGCCAGAGCCAGAAAATGTAAATGCAAAAGTAAAGGCAAAGCCAAAAGCCTCCCAAGACCCCACTGAGCCTGCAGCTGCCACATCTTCCTTTGGGCTTGTAGAATATGCAACTGTCATCTTTGGAACCAAGCCTCCACCTTTAAAGCCTAGAAACAAACAGATCCGTGAAAACCCAGTGCCATGAAAGTTTGAACGTGTTCACAGCTATTCTCCTCGACTTCTATTGCAGAATAACCTGTTTGCGTGCAGTTGCTGAAAATTAAATGCATTTTGTAACTTCCTAAATAAAGATTGCATTGTGGGGCACACTGGTGTCTTTCAGGTACAGTAATACTCTGTACATATGGTAGACCTGGATTCTAATGATCGTTACCTGTTTCTTCGTCCAGCAGGCCAAGAAAGGGCCGAGCATGCACTTCATCCTTGATGGGAAGGGACGTGACCCTCATTGCCCAGCTGAAACCTCTTAACCAGGGAGCAAGACTGACATCTCTGCAGGGAATCCCACAACCTGAAGAACTGCAATAGTACTACAGGGCTAGGGCTGCAAGTACAAGTTCAGGTGGATGGAGGAGGGTCTTATGCAAAAGACTAGAACAGAGACGCAAAGTCCCTGGAAGAATAACTCCCTTGACCAGCAGAATCAGAACTCAGCCCATGGCAAATAATCTCAGTGTAAGGCGGGGGGACTGCATTTACTTTCTATTTTAAATGACAGGCTGCTACAAAACACAACAGCAGGAAAATGGGGATCTCTGATAGGAATTGCCAACCACATCAGAACCAGGAAAGGGCTGAGAGATATGGGTACGTACTGCATTTCCATTTCAGTCTTAGCATCTCTCCAGCCGTTCAGTTAAAAACTACATTTACTTGGTTCTAATCACCTCTCTGGGACTCAGCAAATACTTCAGCATGTGCTTAACTGAAAATATGTGAGCACTCCAGTGAGACTGCCCATGTTTTTCAAATGCTTTACTCTTTTAACATAATACGGGGTAAATTAAAGACTGTAACAATGAAGGAAGAGTAGAATGAAGGTCAAACGTGTGGATATAATTTTGCATCTCCTCACCCTTTAGTTGAAGGCTGAGGGGGGATATGATAGAGGTCTGTAAAATCATGAAGATTGTGGACAAAGTGAATAGGAACTGTGATTCACCAAGTACCAGGATGTTAGAACTAGAGGGCACCCATCAAAATTAGTTGGAGGTAGGTTTAAAACTAACAAAACTAACTAAAAAAATAAAGCTAACTAGAAGAACTAACCACAAGCTAAAAAAAACCCCAACACTTTATTTATTTATTTATTTTATATGAAGCACAGTTAACGTACGGAACTCATTGCCACAGGAGGTTGCAAACACTGATAGTATAGCTGGGTTAAAAAATGGACTAGACAAATTCATGGATGGTAGATCTATTATTAGCTATTAAACAAAACAGTTGGAGATGTTTCCTCTGGCATCTCTAGACCAATGATGATGAATACCAGGAAGTATAATGAACAGGAGATAAATCATTTGAGATATACCCAATTCAGTGCTCTCCCTCTAAAGCATCGACTCCTGCCACTGTCAAAGACACAATATTGGGCTAGACGGACCACTGGTCTGACCCAGTATGGCACTTACGGTCTTATTAACGTCACTTCGCTGTATAATAGGAAAATGTCTTCAATTTATTAAAAATTATACACATATAAAACTATTAAAAGCTTCAATTAACATCTACAACACTAACAGTCATCGTGCCCAACCCCTGTAGCAAAGAGCTTATACGTTGGGGCAAGATTTGCAGTGGAGCAATTCTCTGCTTTATTAATATAACAGAAAGTACAACTTCCCAGAGCAACAGCAGAACTGATCCAAACGCAGCATTGTTAGTAAATACTCCATGCTGGCTCAAGTAGAGGCTATCAATATTCCCAATCAAGGGATGCATCTGTTGGATGTGGTGTTTCAGTAGGACTATCACAACATTTTGCCATGCTTCTAAGATATCCCTGAGTGCAGGCTTTCACACACTCTTT